ATCCATTCTGTGTGAGAAAGGCCTGGGGTATTGCAGTCTCCTCAGTCGGCAGTGAACGCCATGTCCGTGGGAGGAAGGAACAGTCACTCCAAAGATGGAGGGTCCTCTCAGTTCAAGGGTTCCTTACAGTGACCTCTCATTTCGGGGTCCTGGGAAGCGCCATTTTATGAACGAACATGCACGTCTCTGCTGATGTCAATTTCGGCATCCCGCCCCACAGGCATTTAGGTTAAACCCCAGATCCACAGGATTTGGGCCGTGGAACCTGTCATCTCTGCCATCTCTCATCACACACTGTCTGGTCCTGGATTCTGAAGAGCTGAAAGAGCTCTGCCATCACAGTGCCTATGGCAACACCCATTAAACCCCTCTGAACATCCCCGTCTTTTCTGCAAACTCCCTCTCCTGTGGGAAGCTGCCACGCCCATCTCTCCCCAAATATACCCACTATCCTCTATGGGCACCAGGCCACCCCTTCCTCCCCAGGGCCCCATGAGACCCCTCTGTCAGCCATATTCACAACACTTCAGTTAAACCCATTTGCTTTCTCTCTCCCAGCACCCAGCCTGGCCTCAGAGGACCTCCTCAGATCCCTCCCTGCTCCCTGCAGGCTCAGAATATTGTGCAGGACAGACCTCGACCCTGCCACACCGCGGGGTTCTGTCATAAAGTCCCTGCTCCAGAACAACTGAAAATTTCCGGCACGTGTGACTGCAAATACAAACGTAGAGTAAAGGTGGTTCCCCCAGTGCTAGGGGAAAAGGGAATTTTTCTGAGAGGTGGATCAGAGGTCAGACTACCATCAGGAGAAGGAAAGGCACAGTGCAGGGCTTTGTCTGTGAGCACAGGGAAGGGACCCCTTGAGTAACAGGGGAGCTCAAACAGGAGGAGTGGCCCATCTGCCTCTCTCATGGGCTCTGTCATCTGGCCGGGTTTTGCCCTGCCCTAGCTGGACCACACAAGCCAGTTACCTGCCTTCGCTGGGGCTGGGGGTCTTCATCGATGACAGGGTCTCCTTCCAGGAGCACTGTAAGGAATAAGTGAGATGGCATCTCAAAAGTGTCTAGGATGCTGCCGATCGGATCAAGAAGTCCCTAAAACTCAGAGCCCCGTGCACCGAGCGCCAGATGACTATGAGCTCGTGATAGCACTAAGCCCCCCTGTGACTGATAAGGGTCCTCAGCCCTGTGACGGGACAGCAGACCACATTGTGGAGACTGGCATTACTGGTCACTCGTCCTCAGTGAAGAACCCCACCCACCGACCGCAACAGCAACTTCTGGTGTGTGCATAGGGCCCTGGCTCTGGGAATGCTTCCATGGCCTTTGCAAGAGCCACAGCTGTGTTATAGTGGATCGAATGCCCAGTGGGCCTGGACTCCTCCTCTTCCTCTTCCCACACACGATCCATTATCCCTTCATGAGCTCCGAGTTTATTCAAAACTTAGGCGAT